CTTTGTTTGACGGGTTCCGAGGCTTCTACTGCGAGGTTTCCTTCGTCATCGGAGCAAGTGCCCGGTGCTTTCGGTTAATATCCTTCTAAATAACGGTCCTCGCAGAGATATTTGTTGCAGGTCAAAAGATTGACCTACATTATTCAGTATTATTATTAGCGAACTGGCAATGAACAAATTGTAGATGATCTGAATTTCTACAATTTCTTCAAGGGATTTGATATTTGCCAATTTTATAAACTTCTAATTCGTAAAAGTGTGAAATTTCTTTCGTTTTTCTCATCAAATTTGTCACCCTTGTGTGTGAATTATTAATTCTGTAGTTTGCAACTTCTGACTCGTAAAAATTCACTATGGTAATATTAATTTAATTAAAAGAAATAAAATTAATACCTATCTTTGAGGAATCAGCTTTAATCATCCGTGATGATATATCCGCGTAATAATTTGATATAAGTATAAAGTAGAAAGTATAGGTAATACGAGACAAATAAATAAAATTTAGAAAGTTCGTTCATTCAATCATCGGCTAATACCAAATCCCTTGATAAATATAAAACTAATTAGTTTCTTACAAGGCGCTTTTCAAAGTTCGTCTTTGAGCGTGCGGCACATTAAAGTGCGCCCTTTATTCAAGAAACTTCGAGTACTTTGGAGTTAATAATAAAATGTTACAAAGAGTCTGCGAAAGTTGTACCTTACAAAGAGAAGGGAATGTCGAAAGAAGAAAATTCGGATCTAAAGTAGGGAATATTCGATCGACTTTGCATACATTTGTTTTAATAATAACGATAGAAATATTTCCTCTGTTACTAAAAAAAAAAAATATTTAAATGTACGTAACTGTACAGATTATGCACAGATATCTCTATTAATAAACGTACGCAAAGATTAATCTACAAAATAGAATTAAATTATCTACTGCATAGGTAGATACATAGAATTAAATATATAAATCTTCCAGAATTAATCCATTGTTCATAAATTTTTTTAAATTTTATCATTTACCGGATACTTTTAGAAGTTTATTTTTTTTTATAAATAAATTCGATTGATCGATACGACTTCTGAACAACTCGTAATTAAAACGTGTTCAACAATACAGAAACCGGGTATTTCTCTTCTTATTTCTACGTTTTAATTATAGGAATACTTTTGTTTCTCGTTGCACGTCGCAGGAGTTTTTAATATCAAGCCAGTCGTTTTTCAAACGTTGGCAAGATCCAACGTTCATGAATTATATCGAGATCCATAAATGCTTGATAGCACTCGCGCACTCCTGTCGCGTATTAAAAACGACAATTACGATCAAAGTTTGCGTTGCAACGGGATATGACAGTTGCGGACGTCAACGATTTGATTAATGCTGATTACGTACGTTTCCAAACGTCGCGATGCACGTATTTTTTCCTTTTTTTTTTTTTTTTTTTTTGCGAATTGAAACGAAATCACGGTGGATTCGCACCCTTGTCTATTTTTCCACGTTTTCGCGCGTTTACCTTTCGATTAAAATTTTTATGAACCTCCACACGTGTCGATGATAATTCTCGCGTTTGAAAAATATTCAACGTTGAAACAGACATGGCGCGCGACAATGTCATGCGAATTCGCATTTTTTTTTTTTCTTTTTTCGCCTGTGTCGAGTGTCGAATCACTGGTGAACTTGCATTTTTGCCCATTTTTCCATGCTTTCGCGCGTTTAACGCTGCATTAAAATTTTTATGAATTTCCGACTGCATCGATACAAATTTTTATGCTTAAAAAAATAGTCGCCATATTGAAATGTATAATAATACAATTCACTGTATTTAGCGAACTTCTTCGTTTGCAATATAATTAGATCTGCAATTAGATCGTGGATTTTTATATTTTTACCAAGTAGCAAATACTGTGAATATTAATATTTTTACGAAAATAGAAAAACATGAAATTTATTATTCAAGAGGTAATGGAAAAACTTGTTTGTATCTATTCTATAGTGTATATAGATTTCTGTAAATATCATGCAATTTAAAATCTACAATGATGATCTTTTACACGGATTCTATTCCTGAAAAACTATACTTCAACAACATGGGTCAATAATATATTATAATTCGAATTATAATAACTGGTCAAACCTCACATCAATTATCGATAGACTATCAGATCTAATATAAATTATTTATTAGTAGGAATTACAATTTTGTAAATGACAGATTCTAAACATTCGATTATCATAGGATCGTCGTTTAATGTATTTCTATGAAAATTAATTATTTAAATTAGGTAAAACTGTCGTATTTGTCATCGTTGGATTATTCGCGAATATAATACAACCATAATAATTTAGACGTAAATCACTTTTTCGAATTTTAATTTCAATCTATTCCTGACCTCAAACTCAGATACCCTGAATTTCAATAATCCAAAATGAATCGTCATCACACAGTTTAAAGCTTCACAAGTTAGAAATTTAACGAGATACGATGTTTCTACCATAAGAATATAAAATATAGACTCTCACAGAAGAGAACCGTCTAAAGCAATACTTTTGCTACTGGGACTGTACATTAATCAATACGAAATCATTGCCTAACGAGTATCGCGACACATTTTTCCATCGGGACAAAGAACAACGATAACGATCATCCAATACTGCTTTCCGGTTAAAGTAGGATCTCGAGAGAGTGTATCTAAATTCGATATCCGATAAAAAAGGCCTGGATACCATCTCCAATTATACCTCTTCCAATTTATAGTCTAGTTTCGATCATTTCCCTCGGTCGTTAATCGTGCCGTGCCACCGTTTCGAGAACAGTCCTCCCCGACCCGGGCGGGACTTAAAATTTACCGGACGTTCTCGTTTTCTTTTAACTTCTCGTTTTGTCAAACGGTAAGAAGTTCGTTCGCCGAGAAGCGTCCCAGTTTCACTTGGCTTCCGTTCTCCTATCCTTGCAGATAATGCGAAAATAATCATCGCCGGTAACGAGAAAACTTCTCGACGTTTTACTGAACTCGATAATGTAAATACACCCTCTCCCACTGCCTCTCTCGTCCTCTGTCTCACGGCCGAATTAGAGAAATCGCGAAATACGCGTGTCCAGCTAAGTTTCTCGTCGCTGTTATTCTTACAAGAACTCGCGAAACGTTACGTAACGTATCGCGAATTACGCTTTGCGCAGTCGAATTAATGTTGATCGACAGACTGGGAATTTTTATGCTTTATTTTTGTATTTTTTATCAACATGCCGTTATGTATATTAAATATAACGTAGTGAAACAAACGATTACGTTTATTGGAGCGTGTAGTAAAAATTTTCGATATTATACGCATTTTTGCGCTCTCTGCATTTTTAATTAATATCAGATCCGCAGTAATGAATTCATATCTCTTCTTTCACCGTTTAACAAATATTTCCTGGATTTTATTAAATGTTATAACGAGTAACTGGATACGTTGTATACTTTTCTATATTATAATACATTCCCATAAATTCATGAAAATCTGCAATCCATTAGTAACTGGAAGAGTAGGACTGCGTTTTATTTCATTTCGGCTCGAAAAGTTTCTTCACGATACGGCATAAAAGTTTTCCCCAGCTGAATGATTAATATTTAATTTTCAAATCTCGTATTGATCGAAGAGTTGAAACAACTTTTTTCTAAATAATAATTGTCACTGAGATTGAAACGAGGGAACGAATTATTCAACTGTTCGACGCGTTCGAGGTCCTCTGATTGAAAACATTCTTTTAGAAAAAAAAAAGAAGAAAATAATTAACTTGTAATAAGCTCATATTCGCTGGAATCTCTTACGCATCTGTAATTACTGAACACAACCATCATGGAGTTACTCTCTCTCTCTCTCTCTCTTTCTCTCTATATCGTCACTATCGAAATAACAATCGAACAAGCGGTAATTGCATCCTCGATCGCTTATCGTCGAGGAACAACTCTCGTTTAATTGTTTCTGCTTCGAATGATTGCGTGATTGCCAGTTGTTGTGATTAATACTCGAAACGAACAGAACGAAAGTCACTGCACGATCGATCGACGGGTGCAAAGATTTAAACAGCGATCCTTAAAGCGTGTTTCGTATGCAATTCGAGAACCAGCTTGGCGATATTTATTACCGTCTTACTCGATATTTATTGCCTATGTAATTGCGTGGCTTCGCGTGACATTACCATCTGCGATTATGGTGATTCTATTGAACCGTCGAGCAAGTTCGTGCCGAGGTTTCGTTTCACGACGAATTTCTTTCAGTAACAGCTGCTCATTGACCGTGGATTGAGTCGTTTCGTGCACGCCGTATCCTCATTATTCGATTTGTACGAAGTATTATTTCCTTCTATGCTCGAAACTGAGAATTTCGGGCTTTACGTTGAAATTTTGAATGCGAAATTCAAACGTCACGAAGGATGTCAGAGCAACGGTTGCAAACGAACGAGAAATAGAAAGAAGACAATTAATTTCTTCCGTGAACAAACGAAATCCTGATAAAACAAACAAACTTTCTGATAAAGAAACTAACAAGAAGATATCCATTACCAACATTGACCAACGAAAAAAGTTATATACTTGAAATTTAACATCTAAATAATAAATATTTAATAGATTCCATATCTAATAAAGTACACAAAGTAAGTCAATTAAACTGATTATAATAATTGATTTTTTTTTTAATTCTAGCAAGTTGATACAATTACTTTATGTAATTCAAAACTATTAATAAGAAACGTATTAACTTTTCAGCTGCCAAATTATCTTTACGTGCTCTTAAAATTCATCATTAAAATTCACTCAACGCAGAGCCTAACCTAACAATTAAATTTTGCCAACGCGACACAATTACTTCTACAAAACATCTCGGTTCAAACATACACGTAAAATACACTGAACGTCGCACGAAAATTGCTAAACGTTTCGCCGCGAAGAATCGTTTCTCATTGCGCGTCAAATCGATTTGACATCTGTCAAACGGTCGCGATACGACATTAGAAAGTCAATGCACTCACCGGTCGTGTACATGGCGACACCCTTCAGGGTCACTGGCTCGAGAATGGCAGGCTCGCTCCTCCCCTTTGCATTAATCGCGTACAGAAAAAGTCGATAACTCCTTCCTGTCGTTAGGCCTGCCACCTCGAAAGTCGGCCCGTTCGGGCTTGCGGGCACGGTTTTGTTCAATAAGATTGGCCCACCGTCCTCGTCCGCCACCACTTCCAGCTGGTAACTGTGGATCGGGAGGCCACCGTCGTAACCCTCCAAGCAGCGAACGATCAGCCCTGTCCCGGACTTGGCGTTCAGTTCCTCCGCGTCCAAAGGCGCCGACATTTCCGTCGTGCTGCAGTTATGCAGAGCGTACGGACGTCCTGCGGCTATCACCTGGAAAATATGACCGTCCGTGTCTCGGTAATGGATGTTTCGTACGCTCGAATCCGACCGAAAAGCCGCGCCCCTCCCCAATTGGGGAAAAAGTTGCAATTTCATTTCGCAACGTTTGGCTAAGATTGCGCTGTGATTTTTAGAAACAGTGAAAATTTCTGCCAGTTCCTCTCGTGGGTTTCGTTGTTTCAAAGTTATCATCGATGTATGAAGTTTGACCCAATTTTAGTGTGATAGAAATGATAGAATATTGATCCATTAAGGGAACGCAGCAGAGTTTTTTGATTCTCGTTTAACTTTCCCATGTGTGCGTGATTTTTGGCGAAGTTACAAAATGACAAAAGTATGACCAACCTCGTAAAATTATGTCGAATTTTCTGATAATTTTAAAAAAAGAAGAACATGACGGATATATGGATCTTTTAACCAGTTGTAAATATTTTACATGTAATTTACGTAATTTAAATTAATTATGAATATTCCAAGTTAATTATTCTCAGAAAACTTTTACCTCTGCCGTATTCTTATCTTTTAAAATTATTCAAAAATCGTATGCTACGTGCTGAATAATTTCATAAAGTGTAACGTGTTAGAATTTGATGCTGCACAATTATTCAAATAAATTAAAAGTTGCTACTAAAGCAGCATTCTATGGAAATGAAATTTCGAAGAAACTGATAAAAAAATCTATGACCCAGTTAATGGAGTAGCATAGAATTTATCGAGAAAATTCCAATATGACACAGATTTAAAGTAACTCCTATTATTTGCGCGATAGTTTAGATGTAGCTGTGTGTGCAGAATATTGTGTGATCAATATGACTGCACTTAGATTGAGTAACTTGCAACAGATCAGCGTAACAATCATACGGTACTGTGTTGACTCAATTAATTGATAGAGCTTGATTAATAGAGATTAACTGAAACTGGTACATAATGTCGTATAGTCATTCATTATTACAAATATTTACGTGCATAGACACAATACAACCTGATCAGAATTAGATTTATTTGAATATAATATGAAATGTAAGAAGTTTCCAGTTTCGATATATAGTTCATATTCACAAAATTATCTTTTCTTTTCAAACAATCACTGAACGAGAATAGAACATTATTATTAAATGTTACATAAAATGGAAGGAAACTTTAAACAAGCGTTTGGAAATTAATCAGACATCTTTTTATACAGGGACACAAGATTAATCAGACATCTTTTTATACAGGGACACAAGATTTATCAACAACATCAAACAAACACCATCTTGTTTCATCCGTATTTTAGCGAACGAATATCTTTTCAAAAAAACGAGAATGAGCTCTTGCCAAATATGTACCATTTTCATTCATCTGCCTATTATATTCGATGTATGTCAGTCGACGAGTGTACGAAGGTTCACAGACATTTCGGTAGGTCGAACATTTTCCATTTTCGAAGAAACTCGATTCCGGGCCATTAAAAGCAATTCTGTGTTTGCATGTTCAATCTGCAATACGCCGATCACATACAAATACGCATCGGTGCATTTCACTTTGACAGACTCAACTTTTGCAGCGGATTTTTTCGATTATCGATGTATCTTGCCTTCTAAGATATTTTTCTCCTTCTTCTTCACGAAAAGATTATATGTTTTACCAAAAAATTCAATATTAATCGAATCAATTGATAACTTTGCCAATATTATGTACATTCTATGAATATCTGCGTCATTAAATTTCTGAAAAGTGTAGAAAAATCCGTGTCTAGCCATTGCACGAGTCAAGGAAATTTAAATGTTGAAAATTGAACGATTTGCACCAAAGGAACAATTTTATCTTCCGTAAATTTCACCAAATTTTGGTTCGCCAAACTGTAGAAATAATGCGCATCATGTTTCATTTGCCTTGTGGTTCATTCTTCCAAAGGACATTGTAACTCGCGCATCGAATATAACATCGAGAATGGTCAAATCGTGTTTAAGCTCAAAACGTAAAGTTGTGTCGAGAAGTCGAAGTCGAATTTTTTACTATGTCTCCGTGTCGAGTACACGGTGTCAAGGATAAAACGAACAATACACGAACCGAAATAGAAACTATGGTGACTCGCAAAAATCTAGTATATCTATAGTAGAAAAGAAAGTACTTTTCCTCTTCACTCTATAACATTTCCAACACTTTTCTTAAAATTCTTTACTCTACTAGAATTTATTTTATTTTCATCGTTTGTATTTCCTTTCACTCGCGAGTCATTACTATCTTATAAAAAATTATACTATTGAAATACAAAAGAATAATCTAATTAATCATTCGGAAATGAGACATTTCTATTCTTAAAGCATCGATGTATAAAAAATAATTTAAGCGTTCGAATTTATGGAATAAATAATATATAATAATGTACATAATTTTATTTTTAAGTTATGATTTTAGAATTAATAATTTTAGAATAATAAAGTTTATAATTTATCAATTTTTTTAAAGATTTATACAAATTTATAGAATTATAATATATATATATATAATTATTAAAAAAAATTTTTTTAATTTTTAAAAATACAATATAATGATTAACTTAGTAACAAATATATGTATAATATATCAATAATTAAATATATGTATAAGAAATTAAGGCAAAATAAATATATTCACCTGTTTATCAAAAACATGTCTTATTGAAAATAATTTTTAAGTTTACTCTATTCCACTTACTCACACACACACACACCGACACGCGCGCGCGCATAGAAAGAAGGAATCGTCGAAGTAAAATTATTCTGTCTAATGCAGCATCGCGTTCCAAATAATAACGACGCGATGAACAATCGCGAAAATTGCAAGCCACAGGCGCCACGTAAGAGAAACGAGAGAAGTGCATTTACCTGAAAGAGGCACGGCGTCCGTTGCTTGCCAACCTGGTTGCTCGCCCAGCACGCCACCGTGCCGTAGTCCATTTCCGTTGCCGGCGTGTAGTTCAGCCTGGACCCGTGGAACTGTGGATACTCCTTCAGGCTTTCGGCAACGGACGGAGTGCCGACCGCCGCCGCCATATGAGAGTAACGAGAATGAGGGACCTCCACCAACTCGCCGGAATTATTGAATGTCCAGTGGAAAATCAAGGGGGCCGGGTGGCTCTCCACGGAACAAACCAACGATACGGTTTCCTGTTTCAGCGCGCCAACGACCACCTCGCTTCTGCCTTCCTTGCAGACTGGCGTGTCTGTGAAAGAAAGTTTGCGTTCGAGGAAAACAGAGAGGATTATCACGGATAACGGTTCAACGTCAAGTATAGGTAGGTAACGTTTCGTGGGGACGAACATTTTTCAATCGCGAAATATATATTAAGCGAAATGACCTTCTATCTGTTGAAACGATTTTTGTTCTTGGCGATGGGCGATGAGGTGCGCGAATGAAATGTAAATGAACGAAGGGAAGTGTAGAGGAACCAACTTTAACGTTCGATGAATATTTTATACAGTATTATATTCAGATATTCATTCAGTTTGTTTCTAGCGCGTATGTTGACTTATTTCTGGAATTTATTTTAGTGATTTTTTTATGAAGATCATATTACACTTTTGTGTAAATCAGGGAGGGAGATCCTTGCGTGTAAATTAAGTCGAGAAGAAAGAATAATATTTTTTAATATACGATATTAAAATATTTAGAATATATAATATTTTTATTTAAGAATTCAGGTACTTACTTGACTTTTACACTGATTCAAGTAATCATACCTCGATCACTTTCTCATTTTGATGTTCTTTCCTTATAATACCAAATTTCTTGTAATACCAAAAACACATTATTTTTTCCTTCCTTATATATCTATTATTATTATTATGTTGTAATATATATATATTAATTTACTTGAACATTGAATTTTAAATGACACGAATGATCCTGCTTCAAGAAAAAAATTACACGAGTTCAAATAGCTTCATTATAAATTTACTCCAATTTTTTTTTTCTTTTTACCCCGTTACATTCATGAAGAAAAATTAGACGAATTTAAATCTAACTCCGATCGATACTCTCCTTAATTCGCTCCTTCGAGTAGAAGGAATCACGATCGATATGGAAGAGCGTAGAGAGAAGACGACGCTCGTGGGAGCGTTTAATATCCAAATGTGAGAAGATGTTGGCGCGTGAAATGGATGAAGAAGCCCAACGCCGTCGAACAGCAGCGACCGGTTCGATCGATCGCCTAATAGGAAATTCCCTTGACATCGGTATCTGCAATAGGCCGCGGCACACGGAAATTCCAAATGGCACGAGAGATGATTTATTACGGAAGTACGGGATCAGCAGACGGCTCAGTTTCAATCTGATGTGTTTGATGCACTGGCGAATTAATTACTAATACGAGAAGTCGACGATACTGGATGCACGACGTATCACCGGCACTGCATTTGTCGAGCGAAACGCACGGCGCACCGGTTGCTGATTACCACGCATTACCAGTCGCTTCATGTTAATCGAGACGCGTATAATGTTGTCTTACGGTTGCACCGTAAGGATCTCCGTACGGTTGTATATTATGCGGAATTTACTTCTCGAATTATCCGGAAAATCAATTGCGACGGACTCTTGCAGAGGCTGCAAACGAGCAACGATATTCTGTCCCGAAGTAACGTCATTAAAATTCAATTCAATCAATATTTCATCCTTTCAACATTTCATTCGTTTAATACGTTATCGTAATTCTCTCTCAAGAAAATGGATAAATTTCGTAAAATTTTATTCAACATAGAATGTTCGTATTAACAAGAGTTACCATATCATGTATCAAAAAAAATACATCTACCTATCTGATCGAAATAAGAAACAAAAATACACAATGCTACATCGTTCAATTATACAGTGATAGTTTCGTTCGTCGTACTCGATAAATCAATTTGCGAGTTCAGTTATTTTAATTAACCCGCCAACCCAATTTTCATATTCATACGCGAAATTGTTATCGTCAGTGTTCAAGACTGGAAATAAGACGCCGTCGTCGTCCGCCCGAAATTAACAGAACACGAGGAAAGTTCGAGAGCAAAGTTCGTCGATCCTTCATTGACTCGGCTCCCAAGGATCAATGTCAACGGTGGAAACGGCGGCGCGTGACAGGGTAAGTCTCAAAACATCGGGATAAATTCGTGGTTCCCTTTAACTCGTCGCGCGCGGGCCTGGCTTAGCACATTGCCAGGCTGCGTTCACCCACACATGAATATTCAGCCGCGCTTTACATACATTGAATATGCATCGCACTCCTTCCTTCCCTCTTAGGTCATTTACAAGATGCAGATACGCCGAGCTACCAGCACCGAGTTACCAACCATTCTAATAGAATAACTCGCGCTGTGTGTTTTACAGAAAACTATCCCACCCTGTCCTCGTCCTACCTGAATCACCGTCGCTCCATCGCCGTCCTCTCCTCCACCTTTACGCTCTCTTTCACACCGATTCCCTCTCACCGAGGCGACGAAGGGCGCTCCCTTTTCCGATTCTCCGGCTACGGGCTGGCCCGTAACTCGGCCACGCTACTTGCCATCGATTAAGTAATTATCGAGCGAGCCTGGCCGCGAGAACTGGCAAATTAGAGAATCGCCGAGAGAATATCAAGCCCGAAGCGGCGATTCTATCGGCGACCCCTTCCGTTGTTCTTGTGATTAACGAGTGGCACCCACAGCTCGAGATCAGGCCAATGGAACGCGCCTTTGTGCTCGCGGAAGGAAGGAAGGAAGGAAGGAAGGAAGGAAGGAAGGAAGGAGTACGGTGTTGCTCATTGTTTGAACGAATTCTGACGCCGATCGTTGTTTCAATGAAGTTTCGTTGGTTGATTGCTCGGGGATTGTTCGTTTATTTGCAAAGATAATCGCGGATCGATCACTTGGAGATTAGGTATAACATGAGAGAGGTTCGACAAGCCCTTGATTTGAAACAAGAAGGTGCCTCGTCTGTATTTTTCTTTAGAAAGATGCAAATATTATTTTCTCAAGAATTGAAAAAACCCAATTTTTTCTCTCTTTTTTTTTTAGAAATAAGAACATTTTTATTCTTCTTCTCGACTTACTTTTTCACCCCTTTATCGCTATCGAATGGCAAACGTTCAGTTTAATATTCTAGGTAAAATTAAAATCATTACTGAAAGAATATTTGCTTGGAGGAAGTTGGAGAAATCAAAATACATAGACTCACACATTATTTGAAGAGTCACCGGGTTACTGGCAGTTTTCCCTTCGCTGTTGGCAACAAGACAAGTGTAATCACCAGCCGAGTATCGAGTTATACGCTGAAGAACCAGAGAATGATCGCTGAGAACGATACCTGCCGTGGCATTGTTTTTCAGCTCCTTGCCCTGCAACAAATAATTCCGCTTGGTTCCAATATCTTGCTTTCGAACAGTATAAATGTATCATAGTAAATGTCTGATATAAAACGAAAACTTATCACTGTGCAATTATTTATAGATCATTTGATCGTAAAAGTTATTAAACCTATCAGTAATTTTTCAAATGTGATTAAATAGATGTTGATTAAATACAGTAGGTCAAATACAGTGATGTGGAATGAATATAGGAACAGACTGTGAAACTTAACGTACCAAATGGAAATTTTTTTTTATAACTTTTAATTAAAAAATTCGCACTCTCGTTTTAGAAGAAGTTAGATATTCCAATCAAACGTTACATCTCGTTTGATAATATTTTACTTTCGAACAAAACTTTAAGACTAAAATGCAACGTAAAACAGAATAAAATTTAATGAGAGAGATGCCAATTTTCTAATCGTAAAACGGCACACGCGATTTTTCCAAGTAAAAGAAATGACGGAAGCACAACCAGTTACTCATTTTCTGTCAGAAGACATTCAAGACATAGGATTAAGGGCGTATTACGTAGAAACATACGTCTTTGAACCAGGCAAGCTTGTACACTTTCGGATTGGCCCTAACCGAGCACTCGAAGTAGACGTCGTCACCCTCTTTGATATCATCGGGATTCAAGGTCTTGCCCATCTTCAAAGTGACTACCGGCTGATACTGCACGTCCAGTCTCCACTTGTCCTCCAAAGCGCTGCCAGGAATAGCAAGATTCTCCGCCCGACAAGTTAAGTATTTGCCATCGTCGTCGATGCTTGGCACGAAACTCAGCACGCTGAGGCTCTCGTTATTTTCCAGCGGGTACTGCCAATAAAAACCAGCGCCCACTTTAGCTACGATCGTGAAAAAAAAAACCATCAAACGCTCTCGTGTGCACGCGTGGAATACGAACGAGAAAGCGAGTGTATTAATTACGTCATATGAATAACAACTTGCACGACGAGCAGTGTGAATCTAAACATTCGAATGGTTTCGTTTCGATATTTCTAGATGTAAACTGAACTCGTTTGTACATATTTTCTGATGTTCACCTTAATTAATAAATGTCGAAGTACTTCTTTGTAAATTATTTCTACTCCTAAGCGTGTAACGAGCAGTTTCATTCACAGACTACGTCCGTTCTGTAAGACATTTTGACATTTTGTTAACGCTGTCGCGTCGCATTCGTAAAATTACATTCATATCCGCAAAAATGGCTCACGTTCGTTCATATACACGCGAGAGCCTGAAAATACACACGACGCAAATTACAAGGAAAATGTATAACCTGCGTAGAAAGTAGAAAAAAAACCAGATTATAATAAATATCGGACACGAGTATATATTTCCCCGAGTGTTCTACTGTACACCGGGCCACAAAGGGTTAATAAACAGAAATCTTTCAGAAACACTTTTCCACCCCTTGCCCAGCAGGGCGAACGAAAGTATCCGAGCGATTTGTCACTGGTTTAATATGAAAATCCATTCGGCAGCGGCGCGCATTGCCACGCGCGAGAGAAACGAGGGAATAAGGGTGCGCCACGGTGGCGAGAGGCGGCCAGAATGGGAGGAGTGGGAGGGAGAGGTTGAAAAAGAGATTAACGATTTTTCAGAATTTACGATGCAGCCGCGCGAAATTGAGGAAAATGTAGCGGGGGTGGCGAGGCTAGCAGGGCGAATAGGTGGCAGGTCGATGACTGTCTCTCCCCGGCTGGTTTTCAGCTTTCTGTTTCTCTTACAGCGCGTCGCGTAACCTTCCGCGTTTCGCCGCGATGTCATTTTAATGATAACGCCACCAGGCACACGGTATCCAGCCGCAAGCTCGCGCACGAGCATCGCGCCAGCACGATGAATGGGACTAACGGTTCGTCACGGACGAGTATCCCTTCGCGAGCTACCACTACGTCTCTCTCTTTCTCTTTTTATTTTTTTTCCTAACCCATTCTGACCAGCAGCGTCATTCTCCGTTTGTTTCGCTGGTTTTACGTGACGCTACGTTCACGTTTTTTTTTTTTTTTTTTACCCACCGCAAGCTTCGTTCCGCTTGCCGCGCGATCGAATTCCTCGATAAAGGCTCTCCGCGGATAGCGGAGAGCGTCGATATATCTAGGGTACGCGGCAACGGCGAAACTTCTCCGCGCAGAAATTGCGGACACCTCCCGCGTGAAACGATGCAAAATAAATCAGATCTATCGCGGATTTCCCTTCGCTTCCGGTCGGCAACAGCTGACGTTTCGAGCCGGTTATGGAGCTTGACCGAATAATTTATCAACCAGCCGTTCGCTCTTTGTCGATGGCCGAATGTATGGGCGAAAGTGTCGGTCAGTATAACCGGGCGTAAGTCAAAAATGCAAGACGTTTCTCAGTGATCAATTCGTCGAATATACCGTGGAGAATTTTCTGACTTTTACTTCTCGAGTATTATTTTATATTCGACCCGAAACTGAGTGATGACGATTATTCTATTTTCCATAGCAGTGAACTGTTCTGTCTTTCGAGAACGTAATATTAATTGATTTAAATATTTGAGAAATGAAAGTTTGAGTAAAGAGAACTTCATTGTCATTCGTCTCTAAATTTTATCGAAATGTGATAGATGATTTTCCAGCTGGGCAAATTCTGTTTGCCACGATATAATATATTCTCTACTGTTACTCTACTATAATATTTACTATAATATTCGTTTTAATATGTACGTAATAATATGCAATCAATTATAATTAGTATGTAATTAATATGTAATTTTAACATGTATTATCAAAGATAAATATAACTGAAGAAATAAAGATATTTTCAATAGGAAGATAAAACATTGTTTCACTTACCGAATATAGTACCCGGTGCTATACTTTGGATATTCTACAGATTATTTTCGTCGATTATATATAAAACTAAAATACATGATTGCGATAAACGTAAACGCGAACGTGCATACCCGATGGACATGATACAGCGGCTGTAAATTAAATGAGGAATGACTAGCACGAATTAATGCAAGGAAATGTCAGATAAGCCGCAGCGTTCTATAATGTCGTAGATAAGTACTGTAATGAACAATGGAAGAATTGAACATGAGCTGAAGTACATTACGTAAATCAAAATGTACATAGAAATGCGCCTTTCTTTCTGTTTATAACAGGTGACAGTAGAATTCAATCAAAATAGAAATTCTAAAATTGTTCATTATCAATCGTCCAAGAAGTTAAGAAAGAAAAAGAGTTTTATTTCTCCTCTAATCACACTTCCCATTAAAACGATTCGATTCGAAAATCTCAGTGATCTATACAGTTTCATGGCATAAACTTGGTACGTAAACAAAAATGAACAAAAATTTGTATTACTCGTTACAAATCTCAACTCACGCGCGCCCATTGTTCACCCGATAGAAACACCGTTTCATATTCCCCGCAGCGAAATCCGAGAACTGACCGAAACTTTCGAAGAGAATTTCTGCACAGAGACACAGAGATTCGGTTTTCAGTTCGTGCGATTACGAGGGAGGAAAAGTCCCGTTGCAAATAAGAAACGAAGGTGAGGTCTTCCGTAATTTATCGAGGGGCGTGGTGCGGGGTCGCGGGAGAAAGATGGGAGGCGGTACAGAGAGTATCCAGTGGATTTGAACTTCTCCCTCGGTCGGTTTCCATGGATGGTGTCGAGTCAACTCGTGAGAAAAATAGAAAGAAAAAAAAGAGAAAAAAAAAAAAAGAAATAAAGAAACAGACCGGTTGTTGGAAAAACGAAATAACTTCATTGCTGCAACTTCCTGATGAATCGTCGCGAACCGGGGAAACTCCGTGGCTACCGTCGATTTCGAGAATTCTCCTTAAAATCGCGTCACGAACCACGCTGGCACGCCCGTAACTCCCGCAACTTGAAACGCTAACGTGGTCGACTCGATTGGTGACTTTCGCGATTTGCTGATCCCGTGTGCCACGCGGTTTCTCCTCTCGCGTTCCTTACCTAACCCTCCCCCCGATCTGCATCGTAGACGCTGCTGCTTATTTCAGAAACGACGTCGATACTGTTTAAAATCTATGAAACAGTTTTATGGTGCGCAGTGCCGAGGAAGTTCTCGAGGAATATATCGAGATATTCTGGTTTCTCGTGTATCGAATGATTAGAGATACGGACAAGATGTAACCTAGTTTTATGAATATGGCTAAAAAGAAATTGAAATCTACGAAGACAGTTTGTTTTGTCTACTTTTCGTCAGTGAGTGCAAATGGACTTATATGTGCATATGTATGCCTTTCAAATAGGATAAGTAGTCGAGGTCAACCATTACTGAGGCAAACTATTTTATTATACTCTCTACTTAAAATCAATCGTTACTACAGACAAAATATTCCATTTCCAACCTGGTGAATTTTAATATGAAAATAAAGTGTATCGTCTGACTAATGATTGATCTCAACTACTTGTCTTATTTGAACAGCAAAGTTTCCGACATGATATTTTTTTCTTCGTGATACTATTGATACCTAATGCCTTCAGAAAATTCTAATCAATTGTATAATAGTAAATTCATCGTGCCATGCATATGTAATATGAATATAGATATATAGAAAGGAGAAGAACATATTACGTATTGTAATAGTTACAAGATAATTTCACTTCTACATGGGAAAAGATATGAATTTGCACAAACATCATTACGTCTGTTGTCAATCAACGAGTTTCAACAAAATTTTAATGCCCATACGAGTCCTTTCAAGATTCTTTCCTACAGTAGAAGGTATTTAAATATTTCAATTCACGTGCACGTAAAGATTTAATTTCCATTGCTTTTGTTCGTAAAAAAATTGCTCGAGCAGTTTTTTTTTTTTTTTTAAAGAGGGAAATAAACAATCTCGCGAGGACAGCGAGACCACAATCAGAGAATATCGGTCAAGAGAAATTGCATTAACGACAAAACGACGCGCGCCATTGGATTTTGCAAAATTCCAATTATCGGCGACTGAACATTTTTAATTATCGCGAATTACGTTGCACATTGTTTTTAATATCGATGCGTGCACTCTCTCTCTCTCTCTCTCTCTCTCTCTCTCTCTCTCTCTCTTGTCAAACATTGTAATCCGGTCGTTCGAACGATAAAATTACGACGTGAATAAAGAACGAGGCAATTTTCGTCGGCAACGCAACCAATATTTCCATAATAAATCCATTATGAAATAAATGTACGCTTTCGCATCGGCTGTTGCCTCGTTGGAAATTGTTGGGAATTTATCCTCGACAAAGCTTACGTTTTGCGCCATTTTCTTAATCTGCTTTTCCGCCTTCCACCAAGTAATTACTGCTTCTGGTCTAGAACCACTTGTCCTGCACTCCACATCGTAGTTCTTGTCAGCGGAAACTCGAGGCTCCTTCGTCAAAATCTGCACGACCAGTGGCTTCACTGAAAGAAAAAAATAAGAAAAGTGTCAGTATAAGATGGTATTACGGAGGAAGGAAATTTTGGCTCGTCAAATTTCAAGCATGTTGAATTATACCTTGAACATTTGAAAAATGTAAATGAAACTAGCTTGCAAGTTGAGCTAATGTAATGACCACCAATATTGTTCAATCTTCGCGAAGCTATTTCATAACAGAATATCTCTCTTCAATCATTAAGTGACAAGTCAACAAAAGTAGTAATTTTTCTCTGAATTTGGATAAATATTCTGTTCTTTACGACTGTGCGAAAAAAGTATCATGCTGCACGAGTAGGTACGTTAATTTTAACGATAATACTTGCAGTCTTTGTTTTCTAAATTCAATGCAACTTTCTGCATTCATTAGTTACTGTTTGAAAAGTGGTACTAAATATTGAATGTTGAGCTGCTTTCAGGCTAACAAGAAAACTTCGCCTCCTTCAAAATTCAAACTGTCCCGAAACTTTGTTAAATTCTGATATCGGGTAATTTCAATTTCCAATCAGTTTTCGGTTCATTCGTCGAATACTTGATAAACACAGCGCTCGATTTGAACTCTCTTATAAATATTTTTGATTCAAGAGAATTCAAATGGAATCTATTTTTGACACTTTCACGTTATATACATTTAAAAAATTTGTTAAACAGCGACATATTTATATTTCTTTGAATAATTTCTACTAAATTGCAAAGTAACTTTCGATTAACAACTTACTGTGATGTAAAAACTCCATTCGTCCAATATTTAAATCTCAAACTCTTAAGTCAAACTCAGCTAAACTCATTAAGAACGCATATTAAATTTTTAACTGTAATATTATGCCGAGAAATCAAACTTGTTCAAATATTGAAGTTATTTCAGTAAACATAAAATTTCCCCATGAATCCCAATGAAATCTCATTTTACCGTGTTTACTGTCGATCAGATTTTATACGTAAAACCAAAAAACCCTGACGATATAATCTGACGTATAATTGCGTCAGTATATACCCCAAAAATCTCAATACTAATTATCCAATATATTTCATCAATTTTCGGTATAATGTCATGACAATTTTTTTTTTGTGCAGTAAATTGTTTTAATAATTCGTAATAAATCTACCAATGATCTAAAGTCTTGAACAAATCTTTTCCAAGTTAAATTCCCTGGTATTTTCTTTGTGACAAGTTTCTAAAAAAATTCGATCCTTCCTCTTGGCGAATTTAAATTTCCCGGTTATTAAAAACCCCTTATTTTGCACAATTTAATCACCGAGCATATAATAACCAGCGACACGAAATAAAGTTTCGCGAAAAAGGAAAGATTCCTAACTAGACACGGCTTGTTCTAAAGCGCGTTATATAACCAACTCTCACCTAGTTGCAAAAACAAATTTCCTCTTTGAACAGTTTAACTTTAACCAACTTATGCGAGCGCCACCACTTTCCGAACTTATCCTCTTCGCTCTGCTGTTCGTGAAAACTGCAAATTATTCTGGCGAAGCGGTGTCCCATTTTCGTCGTGTTTCACGCGTCGGGATAATGCGAGAGAATCCAAGGAAATGGCGAGACGGAAATGCCTAATTTCGGCAGGTATTAGGAGGCATGGATTTTTCTAAACTTTGTGTAACAACTTTTCGCGCCCTTGCAGTTTGATTTTGCAATTTTTTGAACCTAACCCCAATGACGTTGTATATGTATAATACATCAATGTATCGTCACGTTAATAATATATTAATGTATACCAATAATACCAATCGTGCGTTATAATACATTCACCTGTACGTAAATGTGTGCCTCATTCGTAAAATATTTCTCATTCGACTCAATATTCGAATAACGTGTACGGACAGCGTTGCGCAATGCACACGATTGCAAGATTGTAATAACGGGTAATAATAATATTCGTAAATACGCTTTTACTACAATCATTATTGCACTGTGTATTCAATTATGAGAAATTCGCAAACGCAAATAAATAAAATAATCATTATACTATAATTAACACAGTGAAGCAATTAGTTTCGGTTCGTGAGGAATCTTGAAACGTTTAAAAATCCGCGAAACCTAAACGAAACAAAAAATATTCGACGAAGGGAAAGCTTCGTGTAAAAATTTGCAGAGAAAAGTGAAAGAAATATGTGTAAAACTGTTCGTTGTTACGGATGAAATGTACTTTATAATTCAATATATATTTCATACGCTAGAAAATTCTCGAAGCGTTCAACATTTAACAATTCGTGGTAAGTACGCGATAATACCCGACACCGGGGAAGTTGGAACGACGTAACTTCAGAAGTAGCGTCCTCGAAATTACAGAAACGAAGGAGAAACGTGGAAGCCGCATGCGTCTTGCGAGGGTATCACGTTGCTTAGGGTTAAGGAGAGTCTTTCAAGACGTTTATGGCCGCGTAAACGAGCGAAAGGGGCTCGAAGGAGGCCGTATTACACGGTGAGAGAACCTCTTAAAATCCTGTCGGCGCGGCATTACGATATATCTCAATTATTTAATTTCTTGCTTATGTCAACAGCCACCGTTTCACTCGTGCTTTGCGTAAATAATTCGAGAGAACAGTAGTTGCCCGAGGAAGCGGAGAACAAACGCGGAAAAAGTGAAACTTTTTTACGAAATTAAATAGCGAAAATCTTTTTACGATTAACAAAGAAATAAAAATGTACGATGCGTAACTCACATTTTTCCAACACTAATAGATTTTTAACAAAATGTGAGAAAGTTCCTTGAGACATTGTAAATTATTCTTCTGTGTCAAATTGAGCGTAAAATTGATCTCTAAGTATACACTCAAGGATCGTGGCAGAGTTAATGGATTTTTTGAATAATAAATGAAGGTGAAGGAAATTGCCAGATTATATCGATATTTAAGAATGCTATGTTTCTTTTTGTTCCGATATTTTGACACAAATAATTGGATAGAGCGATTTTAAATATATGCAAAAAATGACATAAAGTCGGGGGTTTCTTGAACGACAAGAAACACGCCTCACAGTATTCTCTGAATTAAACGTATGATCCGTTCCTGTCACTCTTGAACCTATTCAATCACTCAAGTTTAATTATTAAAGTAGTTCGTTTGGAGAGTATAAAAACTTCCCATACTTTGAGCTTTAATCTTCGTAGCAAGTTCTACACGTCTCTGGAATATTAAATTTCGCAACACACTTTGAAAAATGATAGTAATTTCGGTGCATGGACTTTTTAACAATACGGATTCTTAAAGCAAAGATTTATTACAGACAGAGAATTAAATTTTTAACAATGTTATCGTAGAGTTCCACAACCTCTTGCTCCGTTCGCGTTTGCTCTTAATAGCTGTAAGAAACAAAAAAATTTTACGAACGTCTATCTAAATTAAGAATTTCATTTTAAAAGTTTATGTCACACGTAATTTTTGCAACTGAAAATTCTATTTCTCACGGTTCTCCAACCGTTATTGTATTCGTGTCTATTTTTAATAGTTACATAATCACAGCGTCTGAAGACAAAAATTATCATACAGCTTTTAATCGAAAGTTCCATTTGAAATCTGTGTAACGCACTTGTATTTTAGCACATAGAGGGCTGACGATGTTTATTTTTCATTAAACATACACCTGAGCAGGCACCACGTAGATTTTACAACGTGTGCAAACGTTTCGTTGCAATTATCGGCGGCTACTTATATCCAAGCGATTTTGCAGGACGAACGATAGTGAATATTGAATTTCCTATTAACGTCATCGCTTGTGCGTTGCCTACGGAAATTCATAGGTTGGAACGTATACATCTGTCACGGTAAATGCATATATGTACCGCCTGTCCATTTCCATCAACGATAAATCTTGGAACGTCTATTGATTGCAATTATTGCATGCAATATTGGATCGCCTTAATCACGCAGAATAAGGCATGTCTGACGGCAACGAGCCGCTGCAACATTCTGTTTCGGATAATTGTTTCATCGCTTTAACGTTTCGTCCAATTGAATCGACGAATTGCGACGCGTCTGTTTTATCGATTTAAGTAACATGTTTGTATACGTGAGAGCGTCTTGGAACGATTTTCCTCTTATTTAATTCAATTAAGAATAACTAAAGATAATAAAAAAAATAAGGTAAAGATTTTACTTCATTCCTAGTCTATGATCTATAATTTAACGATAGATACTATTTAAAACGTAATCGAGTTTTGCTTCTGAATTGAAAGAACAAGGGTAAATAACAATGTAACACTACCACGCAAGGATTAAAGTAAACTCAGATTTTGAAATCCTACAAAAAAAAAAGTATTTCTTCGAGACAAGGTTTGTTTTATCATTATTTGTATCACTTCGAATGACTTCCCTCGAGGAATACATCTATCACAAGACCGCGAAGAAAAGAGATAGGGGATTCTTTCTCGTCTCGCGTCCCACGAGGTGTTTATCGACTGCTCGCATTTCGTCGGTCGTTCTTCAGACGAAATTTAATAACGATCGAGACCGAAAACAAAAGGCCAGTTGTACCCAGCGCGATCCATAATATCACGTTGCCCATCGCGCGGTCTGCCTCGTAAATTCCAGCGCACGCTTATGCGCTGCCGCAACCAGCCACTCGTACAACCCCTAATTGCCATTAGCCGGTAGCCACTTCTCTGAAATTGGTTCCTCCGTTCCGTTTCGTGGCTTCTCTGCTACTCTATGTACGATGGCAATCCTTCTCGTCGCTCGGCCAACCCTCCCCCACCCCTCTCCCATTTTGTCCTATTCTACTCCGCCATAGACAGATACATACGTTCGCGTTTCTACAGATCTTCATTCGGGCGATTTCTCCATCGATTTATTGGTAAATGAACATCATTTATTTAAGTTCACTTATTTAAGGTATTACCACGATAGAGCGAGTAATTGTTTATTTTTAATATCGATGAAAGTGATCAAGCGTGCAGTTTCGTTTGATAATTACTCGTTTTAGATTAATTGGCTTCATTTCCCGATGATTTGTACAATATGTTCAATCAGAATCTGG